CTCTCACCCCCCCCCACTCAGCAAAATGAGACCGCGCTCGCCCTGGAAGGCTGGATGCCGAACGACGTGGCCTTCCGCAACCTGCACGGGCCGCGCGGTTGTCCTTTCTGTGACGCAGGCACGAGAAAGGAGGGAGCTTCGGATCCACGCTGGCAAACATTTGTTGCTCTCGGCGGCGAACGATGGATGGGCGAGATGCGCGGATACACGGTCCCATGGATACGCGGTCCCGTAGATACGCGGTCGCATGGATACGCCCCGCGCGGGGCACCTGCGAAAGACGCCACGTATCCACGGAGTCGCGGCCCAGGGGCCCCGCCCACGAGGCCGTGGATTCGAATACGTCATCCACCCACGATTCGCAGATCCACCTCGCAAGTCCAAATCGGTGAGAAAACTGGCTGGCGCCTGAGGACCAAACGTGTCCCCCGAGAGGGGGAGCCTCGCCGCCGACGCCCGGATTTGGTCCAGAGTCATGGCCGCAACGCTCTCTGCGAGATCCAGGGGCCGATCTTGAGATTGGAAGCCATGTGGGGCTGGGGCGGGGCGGGAGGTGGCACGTCTGAACAAGCACGGCCCCCCCCGAAAGCAAAACGCTCCACTGAGCATCGTCGCGGCGTCGAAAGCACGCGAAAAGGACCGACCCGCCCCGAGATCGGCAAGCCGCAGCGCACAGCGCGCACTTGAGGCAAAACAGGGCGTACTCACTAGTGCGCATATTCTGGTTTGTAAATCGCGCGCCGGATTTGTTTTCAAGGCCTCCCAGATGGGGTCGGCCAGGTGGGGCCAAAGTTTATGTGCTCGGAGAATCGCACCGCGTCGTCGATGTACCACCGATACATCGGCGATGCGTCGGCGACGTCGGATATGTTTCGGCCACGTCGGCGTGGAGAAAAGTGGGCTCACCGTAGAAATGCGTCGCTGATGCATCGGCGATGCGGCGCGATTCTCCGACCCCATGAGAGGGCGCCACCCCGACCACGCCACCTTAGTGGGACGAGAAGAATCTATTGACACAACGTGCTATTGATACGTTCCGGGGATTCCGGGGTTTCTAACAGCCTTCGCGCGGGATACACTTTGCGTCGAGTGCTGTTTTCTCTGTCTGGCGCCGCTGGTCGGTCACCAATTCGCAATCGAGTAGTCGGCCGCACGGGGCGATTTGGCACTTTCTGATCCCCCTTTTCGTTGCCAAGCGCGGGGGGGACGGTGGCGCACCGTCCCGTCGCCCGCCAGCGCGCCTCGGCGGATGTCCAAAGACCTGGCAAGGCAAATCACGCGCGACTCTGGAAAATTCTCCGGAGATAAATTTGAGAAATCCAAGAACGTGTTTGAAAATGTCCGGCCTAATCCCAGAATCGATAATGAACACTCCGGGATCGTTTTTGAAAAAATCCGGAATCCATTTTGAAAAATTCTGGATTTCAGAATCCTGCAGATGTCCTGCGCGGCGGGCGCATTCCACCCCTGAAACCTGTTTTTTTTTGTTTTGAAAATGCCCAGACTCATTTTTCAAAATTTCCGGAATCGTTTGCGCGAAAAAACGGGAAACGTTGTTTGAAAGATTCTACAATCCGGATTTTTTCTGGGCGGTCCGACGGGCGCGGCAAGTTGATTCACGCACCGCGCCGCGTGCAATTGAGCGCAGCGCGCGCCGCGCCCTGCGCCCGCGAACAGCACTCGAAAGGGGTACCTCAAAAATCGCGCCACGGCAGCTGCGACCCACAGACTCCCCAAGAGCAAAACAGAATGCAGCTTGAAATCTCCGAGGGCGCTCCGATGCACGAAAAATGCACCGCGCACATCAGGCAAAGAACCTGCGCCGACCATTCGTCCCTGGAGCCCGCGCGGAAGAACGGGAAAACCTGAAAATCCTGAAAACTGCCCATATCAATACTTCATGCCCCTCTGACATAAGTGAATAAACCAACACTGGGGGGCGTTTATTCCATGATTTTTGTCCGCTTGGGGATCCTCTCTCGCGCCGTTGTTGTTTCGTTTCCGCTGTGTACTGCCATTGCGTTGTCTGGCCCGGGCTGTTGGTTTTCCGTGCGGTTAGGGGGGAGCCCCAACAATCTGGAACTGGAAAGCGCCAACTACTCAGCAGAAATTACCCGAGACGTGCCCAACACTTTCTCCACGCAAGGCGACTCTTAAAAGGATTGCTCTTGGCAAACGAACGCTCTTGTCTTTTGCCAGATGATCGCTATAATATGGGGATTCCTTCTCCTAGCTCAAAGATTCCTTTGTGAGGATCTTCTGGGCGAAATGATCCGAGACACTGATCGATAGCATGGCGGCGCGCGCGGCCGGCGCGCACACTCCATCAGCCTGCTACGAAGCGCCAGCTGCGCACTGTCAACTGATTGAGCCAAACGCGCGCAGCGGCACGCGCATGTAAACTTAAAAGGAAGGCGGAGACAGCGAAGGTAACGACCCACCCCGCGGCGGGCAAAGGAGCAACCCTACCCAGCGCGCCAGCCGTCGGCACATCGCGTCAGGGGGTGCCAACCTCAAAGAAAGCTTTACAACGCCCCTCCGCGCAGTACCTACTCCTGCTGCGGAGGTGGAAGCTCGATCGCTCGACGGACGTCGACTTTTGTTCGCCATGCCCGTGGGGCGCCCCAGCGCTGATCGCTCAGCCCAGGCACCGTCTCCCCGCAGATCGCTACGACCTCGTTTGCCTCGACCAGGAGTCCTCCTCTCGTCTTGTCGAAACCGTCCTTCCACGATGGGTTGTCACCCTCATATTTCCATGAGTTATCTCACCACTGTTAGCTCCCTGAGCCTCAGTTACTCCCGCTGGCACTGCCAACATCTTTGTCCTTACTCCACCAAGAACCGCATTCCTTCCAGCGACTCTTGTCGTCATCACCGCTCCAGCGACTCTTCGATGAAGAAGCGCTCCGGTTGCCTGTTCCTCCGTCCGCGCCGCCACCACGTCGTTTCCCTTGTCCTGAAGAGTAGTATTTGCCAGCGGGGACGCTTTCGGTATCACCGTTTTGCCGATTCCTCTTCTGTCCGCTCCCCTTGGAGGCGCAGACTCAGGCACTTTCGTATCGTTCCACCAGCCACGCCCAGAATCAAGGCCAACTGATTCGCTTCAGCTCCCTCTTCCAAATCACGAAAACTCTCCGTCGGAACCCGACCCTGGAGGAGGCGGAGGAGAAGCAATTGATTTGCCCGCGGATAAAGCCGTGGCTGCTTGTCTCGTTATGAATTGGATCCCCAACTCAGGGTAATACCTTCTCACTCGAGTAATCATCGTGGTATACACCATTCCGTATTTCTCGATTGCTCGATTCATTCTCTCCTGTGCACCCCTCGACCTTTGGGGTTCACTGAAGGTCCATCTTTTCCCCGGGATGTCAAGGACATCTTTGCCAGGATCGAGTCCCTTGGATACGTGACAGGTAACCAGGTCCATGGTGGATGCAGACTTCCTGGTGCATGTACCCTTCCAAATCTCGCAATAAAAGTCTTGCACCCTGTAGGCAACATAGTCATGAAACGGTTGCTTCACCCTTCTGTTGTCCCGCATATCCACGGGATCCGCACACCTGCGAGATATCTCTACTGCTACGCTGACCACAACAAGCGCAACCAGATACCCTCCGTCCCTTGGTCGACACCATTATGTCATCAGCATTCGTTCGAATTGCTCTGGCGTCCGCCTCGGATAAAAAACACTTCTCAACCTCCGTTCGGGCAAACATCGCCGCTGTGTTTGTTTCTGCCGCCAAACTCGCATCCGTCTTGACCTCAATCCGAGCGGGAGGTTTTGAAAACGGAGGGACCTGGACAGGCCAAAGGCCAATACCAGGGGATGAGTTTCACGCTCCCGAGATCAGTGATGCATTCATCGATGCGAATCGCAGCCCTGCTCCGTACAGCACCCTCCAGGGCGGGAGCTCCACCGAAAGCCCCAGTGGCCGCGGCCGCACGCGCACCTCTTGCCCAGCACAGCCTTCCGTGGCCACCTAGGGAGCTCCACCGAAGACCCCCGTGTCCGCGGCCGCATGCCTCCCCCACCCACTACAAAGCACCCCGCACGCGCTTCGTGGCCCTGTAGGAAGCTCCACAACAAAGCAGTACCCACAACGCGGTACTCACAGCTACAGATGGTTAAGTCCTTCTGGGGGGCTACATGCGAACCCTACCCCTACCCCCCACGATTTCTGAGAGGGAGGGTGGGGTTCACTTCGCTCGGGAGCTCCCGAACGAAGTGAACCCCACCCTCGCCCGCAGAACTCTTGGGGGGTCGGGGTAGGGCTCGCATGTGGCCCCCCTGCCTTCGCCAGGCTGATCTGCAGCGTCGGATCTCAAGGTAGACAGGCGCGTCCCACTGCTCGCACAGCATGACCACCCGCAGAGTGGCCACAAAAACCGCACCGGGTGATTCATGGTCCCTGCTCGGACGCCTGCGAGCAGGTACCCTGCCGGCAGCGGAGCGCGCGCCTGGTGGGGGAGGGGCGCACCGAGGCGGTGCGGCGGCGGGCCGCGCGGTGACCTCGAGCAGGCGGCGACACGTCCGAGCCCCAGGCCGATGAGCGAACGGCGCTCAACGGGGGCGAGGGGCCTGAAGCGAGGAGGGGGCCCTCTCGACGGCAACGGGGCTCCTCGGAAGCCCTCGCGCCTTCTGGGAAAGATTCTTTGTGTCTTCGGGTCAGGCTCGGGAAACTTCTCAGAAGGCCAGAGGCCTCCCGAGCCTTCTGAGGAGGCCCGCCCCCTCTCACGTCCCCCCAGGACGCGCCGCCGCCGCGAGTAGGCGGCAACATCCGAGCCGTACCCTCATGAACGAACAACGCATACCCATTCCCTTTTGGGGGGGGGGACTGGCTTTGGGTCTGGGTGCTGTTTGTCGGACCCCGGGTGGGGCTCCCATTCGAGCGGGGGGCACCATCCGACAACACAGACACATAGCTTCCTCCGTCCCGTTTATGGGTATGGGTACCTGTTGCTCGTTCAGCATACCCCCACCGACCATGTCGATGGGAGTCGGGGGTAGGGGTTGAAGTTCGCCACGTGTTCGACGAATTCCGAACCCTAACCCCGCCGCCCATCGAGTTGCCTGAATCGTTAATCGGCGAGGGTAAGGTTCGGATTTCGCCGCCGATCGAGATCCACCAAAGACCTCACCGCACGATCCGTCACCGCACGGTTTTGGGACCCCAGAGGCCACAGTCGCCTGAGACGTCCTCGGAGGACGACCCAGGTCCCAGAACCATGTGGTCGCCCCAAATCCCCACTGACTCACCGCACCGGCCTTCGTCCGAATGTCTGGATCCTGGGCCCATGACTCGGTTCTCCAGCAGCCGTTCGGGGTGATCAGGGTACCCTTAGGTCGGGCATGTCCTCCTACAGGCGGATTTTGGAGGAAAAATTAGAAATTGCATAAAACATTCGAAAATTGTCAAACATCATATAAAAATCGTACCCCTATGATTTTTACCTAACAGCGAAGACTGATAGGTTTCTAGTAGTGTCAAAAGAGAGCATCTTGACTCCCCAAGGGGGTCTGGGCGGGTGCCGGGCAGAATCCGCGGAAGTCGTTTTAAGCAAACAGTTACACACTTCGTGGTCTTCGAGGTCCCAGAACTCCATTCCTGGGCATGATTTTGAATGCCCGGAGCCAACTGTAGGCCACTTCGTGGTCTTCGAATTCCCAGAACTCCATTCCCGGGTCACATTCTGAATGCCCGCAGCCAACTGTAGGCCACTTCGTGCTCTTCGAGTTCCCAGAACTCCATTCCCGGGCCACATTTTTAATGCCCGGAGCCAACTGTAGGCCACTTCGTGGTCTTCGAGTTCCCAAAACTCCAGTCCTGGGCATGATCTTGAATGCCCGGAGCCAACTGTAAGCCACTTCGTATTCTTCGAGTTCCCAGAACTCCATTCCCGGGCCACATTTTGAATGCTGAGGCAGGCTGATGCTGAGGCTGAGGCAGGCTGAGGCTGAGGCAGGCTGAGGCTGAGGCCGAGGCTGAAGGCAGACTGAGGCTGAGGCTGAAGCAGGCTGAGGTTGAGGCTGAGGCAGGCTGAAGCTGAGGCCGAGGCAGGCTGAGGCTGAGGCAGGCTGAGGCTGAGGCAGGCTGAGGCCGAGGCTAAAGGCAGACTGAGGCTGAGGCTGAGGCTGAGGCTGAGGCAGGCTGAGGCTGAGGCTGAGGCAGGCTGATGCTGAGGTAGGCTGAGGCTGAGGCTGAGGCTCATGCAGGCTGAGGCTGAAGCTGAGGCTGAGGCTGATGCTGAGGCTGATGCAGGCTGAGGCTGAGGCAGGCTGAGGCTGTGGCCGAGTCTGAGGCTGATTGAGGCTGAGGCTGAGGCTGGCTGAGGCTGAGGCAGGCTGAGGCTGATACTGAGGCTGATGAAGGCTGAGGCTGAGGCAGCCTGAGGCTGAGGCCGAGGCTGAGGCTGATGCAGGCTGAGGCTGAAGCAGGCTGAGGCTGAGGCAGAGGCAGGCTGAGGCTCAGGCTGAGGCAGGCTGAGGCTGAGGCAGGCTGAGGCTGAGGCTGAGGCTGATGCAGGCTGAGGCTGAGGCAGCTGAGGCTGAGGCCGAGGCTGAAGGCAGACTGAGGCTGAGGCTGAAGCAGGCTGAGGCTGAGGCTGAGGCTGAGGCAGGCTGAGGCTGAGGCTGAGGCAGGCTGATGCTGAGGCAGGCTGAGGCTGAGGCTGAGGCTGATGCAGGCTGAGGCTGAGGCAGGCTGAGGCTGAGGCCGAGGCGGAAGGCAGACTGAGGCTGAGGCTGAAGCAGGCTGAGGCTGAGGCTGAGGCTGAAGCAGGCTGAGGCTGAGGCTGAGGCAGGCTGATGCTGAGGCAGGCTGAGGCTGAGGCTGAGGCTGATGCAGGCTGAGGCTGGGGCAGGCTGAGGCTGAGGCCGAGGCTGAAGGCAGACTGAGGCTGAGGCTGAAGCAGGCTGAGGCTGAGGCTGAGGCAGGCTGAGGCTGAGGCAGGCTGAGGCTGAGGCTGAGGCAGGCTGAGGCTGAGGCAGGCTGAGGCCGAGGCCGAGGCTGCAGGCAGATTGAGGCTGAGGCTGAAGCAGGCTGAGGCTGAGGCTGAAGCAGGCTGAGGCTGAGGCTGAGGCTGAGGCAGGCTGATGCTGAGGCAGGCTGAGGCTGAGGCTGAGGCTGATGCAGGCTGAGGCTGAGGCTGAGGCTGAGGCTGAGGCTGAGGCCGAGGCCGACGGCAGACTGAGGCTGAGGCTGAAGCAGGCTGAGGCTGATTGAGGCTGAGGCTGAGGCTGAGGCAGGCTGAGGCTGAGGCAGGCTGAGGCTGAGGCCGAGGCTGATGCAGGGTGAGGCTGAAGCAGGCTGAGGCTGAGGCCGAGGCTGAAGGCAGACTGATGCTGAGGCTGAAGCCCCCCCCCCTCCCCCCCTCGGCTGAGGTGAGGCAGAAGGCTTGCGACTGTCATCGCGAATGCGACTACGACTGCGAGAACAGCAGAATTCTACAACTGGATTCTCATCTGAATCTTAAGGGGAATGCTTCCAGATATGCTCCCACACATCGCTGTCAGGTTGCTTTGCCGGGATAATTTGAATATTCCGGAGTATTCCTCCTGTGGAGGGCCAAGCCCGACTTAAGGGCACCCCCAGAACGTCCGCGGGGAGGCGCAGCTGCCAGCACGCACCCCCGAGGCAGGAAGACTTCCGGGAGCCGACGAGCACGCCGGAAAGCTACGGTTCGCAAGCTGAGATGGTCACCACCCCGTTGGGAGGCCCCCGACAGGGGGAGGGACGCTTTGCGGTACACGTAAGAGTGGCCCTGGGCTCCTCCTCCTCCTCCTCCTCCTCCTCCTCCTCCTCCTCTCCGCTCCTTCTCCTCCTCCTCCTCCTCCTCCTCCTCCTCCCTCCTCCTCGCCTTCCTCCTCCTCCTCCTCCTCCTCCTCCTCCTCCCCTCCTCCTTCCTCCTCCTCCTCCTCCTCCCTCCTCCCTCCTCCCCCCTCCTCCTCCCTCCTCCTCACCTCCTCCTCCTCCTCCTCCTCCTCCTACTCCTCCTCCTCCTCCCTCTCCTCCTCCTCCTCCTCATCCTCCTCCTCCCTCCTCCTCCTTCATCCTCCTCCTCCTCCTCTCCCTCCTCCCTCCTCCTCCTCCTCCTCCTCCTCATCCTCCTCCTTCCTCCTCCTCCTCCTATCCTCCTCCCTCCTCCTCCTCCTCCTCCTCTCCTCCCTCCCCCTCCTCCATCCTCCTCCTCCCTCCTCCCTCCTCCTCCCTCCTCCCTCCTCCCTCCTCCTCATCCTTCTTCCTTCCTCCTCCCTCGGCAAGAGTGACCTTTGGTGCGATGCTGTCAGGGGGCCGCGAGGGGGCCAAATCCAGGCGTGCCGGTCGGTGCTGAGGGGACCCCTGTGAACCCGCACCAAGGGTCACTCTGGCGAAGGGTCCATGTTACGTGGAGCAGGGACCGACCGTCCAGGCGTTCCTCGAAACCTACCACGACATTCTCTCAGAACACAAAATAATGCTCTAAAAACAAAATCAAGACATAAAACCGATGGATTACAACAAGCCTGTCTCAGCCGTAAACAATTGAAGAACATGTCGTGCAAATCACACAGGGCTGTTAGAACACTCGCTGGTGAGCCCATAGGCGAGTCGGAGCGCTTCGTCACTGCTGGACTGCGAAGGGCAACGACAGGGGGAGGCTGGCACGGGGGCCAACATCGACCTGGAATCGGATGCGTCCCCCCTGAGCCTATCCCCCCCCTTGTCCTGGCGGCGCGAAGAAGGGGGTAGGGGGAGGGGGAAGGCTTCTTAGAAGCAGGCTGCTTCTTAGAGGGCGACGGCCATACATCTACAGACAAGGCCACCTTCTAAGAAGCAGGGGTGCTTCTAAGAAGCCTTCCCCTCTCCCCCTACCCCCCTCTGCGCGTGGCCTGTCGCCACTGAGATTACCTGCAGCCAAGCTTTTTGCCGAGCGGACCCGCTCGCTGGCAGAGCCCCTCGGCCCCGCAAGGTGGCACCGGCCAGCCAGACGGCGGGCCAAGCGTTCGCCGGGGGGGCCGCGCCGCTCTACCTCAGGGCCGCGCCCTGCTCACGCGCGCCCTCCCAGCTCAGCCCCGCGTCGCTGCGAAGCCAGCGTCGATGATCCTCAGGTGAGCGTTTTCTATTCGGCGTTTCGACATTGGGCGGAAGGGAGGGGGGAGGGGGGGGAGTCTGGCTCCGGATCTCTGCTTAATGCGACTGTTTGCAACAGTGCTTCCTATGGGGGAGACCCCACCTGCTTGAAACAAGCGCCCAAAAACAGCCAAGATCTACTCCATGGGGGGGAGGGTGCGAGAGCCCTCGCCGATCGGCAAAACAATGAATGAAAAACGACCAAACGTGTGTTTGTCCATCGAGACCGTTCAATACGACGCAGGTGATATAATGATCTACTGGTGGAGCTGAGCGGGGTAAAGACACATTTGGCTAACACACGTCCTGGGGATCAGCGACAGCAGGGGAGGAGAAGGAGGAGGGCGCCGGGAAAGACACCTGGCCATGCCCGGGCATCGCTTCGAATTGGCTCTGGAGGCGGCCGTGGGGTCTGCTCTGGGTGGGCACCAGCACAGCAAGTCAGGAGAGGAGGGCGGGCAGACTCGTCACCTGGCGCCCGTCTGGAGAAGGCGGCGCCCGGAGGGGACGGGGAACAAAGCCTGTGTGCAGAGGTGCAGCTCTCCCCCCCCACCTCTTGACGGCCAGAACCAATGATGCCCGACAACAGCCCCACAGCTGGCTACAAGGCTGGCTAACCCCTGGTCCGCGCCGGCCGCCGCGGCGCGCGCCCCGAGCTCTCATCGGAGGCGCTGGTGTGTGCGAAGATCCCAGGGGGGAGCAATACATGTATTCGGGTGCGCCGACTGTCCACCTCTTCGACGAAGTTCCCTATCGAACACGTGTGCGGCAGTTCGTGGCGTGTCGACCCCAGCAGTGGTTCCTGGCACCGTGGGCCTCGTTCAACCTTGGACGATCGGTCGTTTCCTAACCGTCCGATCGTTCAACATCGACCGATTCTGGGTCGCCGGCGACGTCCGACGTTGAACGCCGGCGGGAACGCCGCCGATCGACACGACGCGAACCTACTGCGACACCCGCCGCCCCAATCCAGGTGCGCAGACGATCCGCCTCTTCGCCGAGGCTCCCTGGCGAAGACAGTCGTGCTGTTAAAATCCGCCGACCCTTCGGCGTGTGCAAGAGGCTTTTCCCTCGTCGTCGTCGTCGTCGTCGTCGTCGTCGTCGTCGTCCTCCTGAACACCAAGGAACAGAAACGCCGTAATGAATTTGGTAGATTTCCTCCCCTCGTTTCCCTCCCTAACGGGAGGGGGTCTCGGGTCAAAATGCCCCCCCTGGGGAGGTTCCGGGGTGGGTCGCCAGAGGGGGGCCCTGGGGGAGGTCCCCCCTTCAGGGTCGGCAGCACCTGCCGCAAGGCCTTCGCAAAAGAAGGAACGCCGAATCAGGAAAAATACCCCTTATTGGCACCAGAAGACCCCGGGTGCACGAAGAACGCCAGAGGAGCATCCGCAGACTGACCCGAAGCACAGCAGACCCCGTCAGGACCCAAAAAGGCCTTTATCTCAGCGTCTTGGCTGTACGTGGAGTGCCCGCCCCTGGGTGTGTGTATAGGGATACGACAGAGGAGCCGATCCTATACGAGTGTCCGTAGCTAAAGGTAAGTGCGGAAGAAGTTAGCTACTCCTTTTCCAGCGCGCTGCGCGGAGAGCAGCGCGGCATGTGTACCAACACCTCAGCCGATACGTTGACGGCATAAGACGAGATGATGGTGACATGGGCGGACTTCACACACAAACTGGGCTGTCCGCCCCCGTCGTCGCCTCCGACCTCGCCAGCCGAGGCAACCCAGCTGCCGCGGCGCCCCCTCAGGCCTGCCCGGCGCTGGGGGCCTCCGTCGGGCGGGACGGGCGGCGGGGGGGCCCGCGGGCCCCCAGGGAGGGGAGGCAGCAGGAGGAGGACGAGGAGGAAGAGGAGGAGCAGGAGCAGGAGGAGGAGGAGGAGGAAGAGGAGGAAGAGGAGGAGGAGGGAAAAGAAAAGGGGGAGGATTCGGAATTGATGCCGTCTTCTGCTGCATCGCCAGCATGTCGTCCCCTGTTTCGTGGATGTGTGGGGAACTGGGATGGGATCATCACGGGGGATGGATGATTCTGGCACATTTCGAACACCTCCGTTGCGGGGCTACCTTTCTCCTACGGGCAAGTACTCTCAGACCTACAGGCTGGCCTGCTCAGGCGGGCCTTCATCCACTTGGTCTTCCACGCCGACCACGCTACTCATACCGGAAGGGTAGGATACTTGAGAAGATGGGAATAAGAATCGATACCCACCAGTCGGAAGAAGTGGGTAGAAACATGATGTGGGAAAGCGTTGGAAATAGATTGGGTTTCCGTCCGCCTCCTGAAAGAAGAGGGAAAGAGGAAACCGGTCGACGCTTGAAGTAGAAAAGCGGCTAGAGCAAATTGGGCACTGGGAGTCCCAAAAATAGTTATTTCCCACGACCGAAGGGTACCTGCTGTACCCTCCTTCGGTCTCTGTGGGCGGGCCCTGCCCGCACCACGGGGACCCGGCACCATCCAGGGTAGAAAGTCGCGCTGCGGCAGGCCTCAACCAACTGCTTCAACTTACTAAGGGCTCCCAACTTCGCGCTTCGCGCTGCGCGAAGCGCGAAGTGCGAATAACTTCGCCCTCTCGCGCCGCCTCCCAGGGGAGAAGAGGAGGACGAGGAGGAATCGGAGCCGAACCGCGAAGCGCGAAGCGCGAATAACTTCGCGCCCTCGAGGGCGCCCTTGTTACAGACATGCAGTGCCCCAGGTTGCCTGGGGTGCTCCCTCCCCCTTTTACTACAAGGGGGGCTTGAAAGGATCCTCAACACGCCTGCACCGAGCTCACATAAAAAAAGCACACCCGCATGTATAGATTCGCAGGCCGCGCTTGCATTCTCACACGCGCGCAGCACAAGCTTGTCCTCGGAAAGACGGGTGGGTCAGGGGGTTGGGGAAGGGAGCACCACTGACAGGCTGGATGCTCATTCTCACAAACCTTACGCAGTAAGCCTACGTTTCACTTCGCGTTTCAGGGAAGCCAGCTAAACAGCGCCAGCCTACACTGAGCATTCATTACTTGACATACGCGTTGCAATACGCAGCACGATAGACAAGAACTCGACAGTGACAGCCTTCAGCTGCCTTTGTAACAACAGCACGTCATTACAAAAGATACCGAAAAAAAAAAAAACTGATTTTTGTTTGGGCTATGGGGCTACAAGACTGTAGCACTATAGGGCTATGGGGCTATAGGGCTATATGGGCTACTTGGGCAATCTAATTATATTGCTATAAGGCTATTGGGATACTGGGCCATGGGGGCTATAGGACTATATGGCTATAGGGGCTATTGGGGCTATAGGGATATCGATCAATAGGGCTATAGGGCTATAGGGTTATATAGCCATAGGGCTCTAGGGTTATAGGCCTATACGGCTATAGGCCTATAGGGCTATAGGGCTACAGGGGTATAGAGCTATAGGGCGATTGGGATATAAGGCTATATGGGCAATATGGGCGATTTGGATATTGGACTATATAGCCATGAAGCTATAGGGCTATATGGCTGTAGGGTACGCGCCCGAGCCGGCGCCCGGGCCGGCGCCCGGGCCGGGTCCGGAGCCGGTTCTGGCCGGCGCCGGAAAATCGAGTTCCTAGGCGGCGCCGAAAAAAGGCCATTCTAATACAAATTTCTTTTTTGAAAATGCTCAATTTCTGCTTCCGGCGCCCGGGGAGCCTCCCGGGCCGATTCCGACGCCCGGGCTGGCGCCCGAGCCGGCGCCCGGGCGAGACGCCCGAGCCGGCGCCCGGGCCGGCGCCCGGGCCGGGTCTGGAGCCGGTTCCGGCTGGCGCCGGAATATCAAGTTCCGAGGCGGCGCCGAAAAAAGGCCATACCAATACACATTTTTCTTTTGAAAATGCTGAATATCTGCTTCTGGCGCCCGGGAAGCCTCCCGGGCCGATTCTGGCGTGCTTCTGCTCGTTCCGAATCGTGCTCCCGCTGCAGCGCTGGCCTCATTTCCGCGCTTCCGTTCGTTTCGACTCGTGCTCCCGCTGCAGCGCTGGCGTCATTTCCCGTGCCATGCCACGGCATGCAATGCAATGCTAGGTTGATACTACGCTTCGCGGCGCTCGTCTACGCCACGCCATGCCGTACTCTACAATGCATCGCGTACCCTTTCGGGATCATTGCCCTGCTCGACATCCGACTGTGCGAGTAGAGAGGGGATCTGCGCCATGGTAAGGGATGGGAGGGAGGGGTAGGATGTCAGATATGACGCGAACGCACCTAGCTTGCCCCTCCCCCCTCCCCCTCCCTCCTCCCCCTCTGCGCGTGGCCGCTTATCTTCGCCGACGGCGACGATGGCGACGGCGCAGACGACGGCGACGACGATGTTCGACGTTCGGCGAAGACGTTCGACGCTCGAGGACGAAGATGTATGACGTTCGACGTTTGACGCCGACGATCACGACAAAGACGTCGACGGTGGCGGCGACGACGCCGACAACCGCAGCGGCGGCGACGACGGCGGCGGCGACGTTCGATGTTCGACGACGACGAAAACGACGTTCGACCTTCGACGCCAGCGACGGCGGCGATGGCGACAACGACGACGACGATAACGACAACAACGGCAGCGACGACGACGGGGCAGACGACGATAACGGTCGACGTCCGACGGTGACGACTTTCGACGTTCAGGACGACGACGGCGACAGCGACGACGACGAGGACGACGGCGGCGGCAACGACGACGACAGCGGCAACGACGACAACGGCGGCGAAAGCGACGACGATGGCCGTGACTTCGACGTCGGTGTTCGACGTTCTGCGAAGCCGACGACGTTCGACGTTGGGCGTTCGAGGACGAAGGCGTTCGACGTGCGACATTCGACAAGGACGGCGACGACGACGACGACGACGACGACGACGACGACGACGGCGACGGCGACGACGACGACGACGACGGCGCAGACGACGACGACGTCGATGTTCGACGTTCAGCAAAGACGACGGCGCTCGAGGTTCGACGTTCGACGGCGACCGCAAAGGCGACGGCAATGACGACGACTGTGATGATGGCGGCGGCGGCGTCGGCAACGACGGCGGAGACGACGACGATGACGACGACGACGTTCGACGTTCCATGACGACCTTCGACGCTCCACGACGACGGCGACGGCGACTGTGATTCCTCCGTCGGATTTTATCGACCAGGCGACGACAAACGACGTCGACGTCGATGGTGTTCGACGTCGACGTCGTCGCCCGATGTTGAGCGGATCTCGCTGCATTTCGATCGGACGACGACAACGACGGCGCCGCCGCCGTAGACTCCGTAGTTCCCCACATGTTTCGTGGGGTTCTGGTTTTCTTCCCTGCCGCGGCGCACCCGCGTCTCTTCATCGTCCCTCCTCCCTTTTCTTCCTCTGCTCACCCGCGCTCAACACATGCATGGCATGTACATGACACACGCGTCTACATACGGCCGCACGCATGCACACACAACACACGCACACACACACACACACCATACAACGCTAGTGCGCGCCTGGCGTGTTCACTGCATCACACATCCACGACGTGTGCGCCACATAGTGGGCACCCACATGGGACACGTCCCGGTATGGCCGCTATGCACGACAGTCGTCCAGGCATAGCAGGCGTGGCACTTCCTCGACACCAGAAGGGGGTGCGCTGAGGGTGGGGGCCCCATGCGCTGCAGGCTCCCAGGGCGTGGCAGGCGTGGCATTTCCTCGACGCCACAAGGGGGTGCGCTGGGGGTGGGGGCTCTATGCGCTGTAGGCTCCCAGGGCGTGGCAGGCGTGGCATTTCCTCGACGCCACAGAGGGTGCGCTGGGGGTGGGGGCCCTGTGCGCTGTAGGCTCCCAGGGCGTGGCAGGCGTGGCATGTCCTCGACGCCACAGGGGGTGCGCTGGGGGTGGGGGCCCTATGCGCTGTGGGCTCCCAGGGCGTGGCAGTCGTGGCATTTCTTCGCACAGCAGCACAGCACAGCACAGCACAACGCCACAGGGGGTGCGCTGGGGGTGGGGGCCCTATGCGCTGTAGGCTCCCAGGGCGTGGCAGGCGTGGCATTTCCTCGACGCCACAGGGGGTGCGCTGGGGGTGGGGGGCCCTATGCGCTGTACGCTCCCAGGGCGTGGCAGGCGTGGCATGTCCTCGACGCCACAGGGGGTGCGCTGGGGGTGGGGGCCCTATGCGTTGTAGGCTCCCAGGGCGTGGCAGGCGCGGCATGTCCTCGACGCCACAGGGGGTGCGCTGGGGGTGGGGGCTCTATGCGCTGTAGGCTCCCTGGGCGTGGCAGGCATGGCATCTCCTCGACGCCACAGGGGGTGCGCTGGGAGGTAGGAGGAGGAGGTAGAGGAGGAGGAGGAGGAGGAGGAGGAGGAGGAAGACGAGGAGGAGGAGGAGGAGGAGGAGGCGGAGGAGGAGGACGACGACGAGGAGGAGGAGGAGGAGGAGGAGGAGGACGGGGAGGTGGGGCAGCAGCAGCGGCAGCAGCAGCAGCAGCAGCTGCAGCAGCAGACGCATCATCAGCAGCAGAAGCAGCAGAAGCAGCAGCAGCAGCAGCAGGAGGACACCGAGGAGGAGAAGGAGGAGCAGCAGCAGAAGCACCGATGGTACACATGGGAAATAAAATAGGTATGTGGGGCTCCTCGGTAGCGTAATTTCGGATGTTTTTGGCTGCTCTTGGAGGGTATCGTCGCTACGGCAGTGATCCCCTGAGAAATCTAGTCAAGATTGAACCTGGGAAAGATCCGGGAACCGAATTTGGCACGATTGTGGCACACGACGACACCGACGACTGCGATGTCGCATATGATGAGGAGTGGCGGATGGGGAGGCAGGGGAGGCGGAGGGGTGGGGACGAAGGGGGAGGAGGGGGTAGGAGAGTTACGAGGTTTCGTAACCAAGTGGCCTTCAGCTCCGATGCGGGGTAGGAGGGGAGGAAGACGGATGACTGGGACGGCAGGATGTAAATAGGGGACGGTACGGGCGGCGGGTAGAGGGGGAGAAGGGGAGCGGGAGTGTGAGGAATGAGGAGAAATGGAAAGACAACGGTCAAGACTGGAGGATAGGGATGGGAAGTGGGAGAGTGTGGGTGAAGGGGAGGGGAGGTGGGAGGGAGAGGGGAGGGTGAGATGGAGGAGGGGAAAGGGGATGGGAAGGAGTAGGAGAGATTGTAAGGAGGGATGGGGGGAAGGCGGATCGTGATCAGAAGCTCTCGTCCGAGTCCTCGTGAGAGCCGGGCATCACCACCAGTTTCAGAACGC